ATGACCATAGGTGCTGGAATCCACGACATCAAAAACGAGGACGGGCCCCTCGTGTCCAATGTGCGAAAGTGGGAATTTTCACGGACTGTACATAAGGGACCCGTCGTCGACACTTTCGAAAGTCGGAATTTTCGATCGTCAGCGCGTCTGATAAAACATTTGGGTCTATATGAAACACAAACGATGCCTCTCAAACAAAGAGAGATTAGTTTTAAAGCACCCACAAAAAATGTCGATTAATCTATTAATTGATTATACCATTCCACCAAAAGCAATTATTTCATTAATTGCTACATTGATTAACGGTTTACGAATAATCAATTAAAGCTTTAATGGACTATACCCCGACCAACAGAGAAGGGGGGAGAGTGTCTGCTCTGACGCGCAACGTGTCCGCGGGGGAGAGGGAGGAAATTGGTCTCCTTCGCGATTGCCCTGAGAGACTCGTGGATCTGGCGCTTTGCTTGTGTTTTTCTTTTTTGCTCGTGCCAATTTTTGCCGACGCTCCATATAACGAACGTGGCACACGCTTTGTTTTCTGCGCTTGGTGAGGGTGCTATGCAGTGCTGTTGTGCCTATGACTGCAACCACCACAGTGCAAATGGTTATGCACTTTTTATGATACCCCAAGGTAAACGCGATGGCTTGCGCAAGCAGCAGTGGCTGCACAGCATTGGCCCAAAAAACTTCCTTCCAACAAAGAACAGTGTTCTTTACGTGGTAAGGCGCATTTCTTATTGCTCCTATCAAAGCATTGCCGAATGCTGCGTTTGAAATATTGTTTCGACCTGCTCATCAACATACATGATCTGGGTAGCATGTCCCGTGTCGTCGTAGTAGCCAGTTGCATTGCATTGGATGTCAATAAAGACTGTGTCACAGCATATCCACGGAGTGAAGGATGAGTTGGACAAAGCGTCCATCAGCCCGTGCATGCTTCCGTTTGACCATGTGTCCGTCCGTCCGCACGCATCGCCCCGCTCGTCACCATTCATCTCGTGGATATGCTGCGATTTTTTTCTTCACGGCCATTTGTGCGTTGCTTCAAACTAGAGTTGTCATGAATATGCTTAAATCTTTTGTTAGAAACAAGAAGAAACTCGATTCGCTTCACGTTTTTATAAAAATATATGTCAGGGATAGTTGCCTCAAATTTACCTTGTAGTGTTCAGCCAGCATTTGCTAGCGTACCCACCGTACACATGATCGGTCCTTGACACCCATATTTGCACAAACTAGTAGTGCTTACAAGTACAGGTATTTTCCAGAACAGTTGATGACTGGAATTCAAGGCCTCATGAGATTTTTTTCGGCTGACAATTTTACTGTATTGCTGGAAAATATATTTACTTAGTGATTAGAGGGTTGAAATGTGTTATATATATTTTTTGTTGCTGTTTCACAGGTATGTCACCTCTGTTGGCATATAGACACACTTTTTTTGCTGTTGCGAATCACTTGATGTTTCTTACGCCCTTCCTTCCTGGAGCAAAACGCTGGTCTGCAGTCTGCATAAAAAAATAAAATAAATAAGTAATGAAAATATTGAGCTCACATCACCTTGGCAATCGTCGAAAATGCACCATTGTAGTCTGCTGTCACTGCGAAAAAAAAAAATTACGTTGCCCTGCCGCGGTGGTCTAGTGGCTAAGGTACTCGGCTGCTGACCCGCAGGTCGCGGGTTCGAATCCCGGCTGCGGCGGCTGCATTTCCAATGGAGGCGGAAATGTTGTAGGCCCGTGTGCTCAGATTTGGGTGCACGTTAAAGAACCCCAGGTGGTCGAAATTTGCGGAGCCCTCCACTACGGCGTCTCTCATAATCATATGGTGGTTTTGGGACGTTAAACCCCACATATCAATCAATTATCAAAAATTACGTTGGATTACAATTACATCTTCTCGATCGCGCTTTTTGTGACTGTTAGGATTCATTTAGAGAACATTTATTGGACAAAAGAAATGATAGTATGAATAGATATGACACTCATTGGCGCTATTTTTCGTAAAGGTATATATATTGTTTTTTTGTTTTTAGGGGGTATGAACACACAAAAATCATGGAAGAGATGCGGTTCATCTAAAGAAAGAAGGAAACACACAGGCGCATCGAGAAAAAAAGAGAAGATCTATAGCACAGTGATAGTGAAAGTGAACCGTTTTTAGGGGACCATGGCTGCAATCGTTTTGGTCAAGTCTGCATGTTTTCTATTCACCAATAAGAAGCTATAATATCTTCAATACTAGCGTCACATGGGTATTTCTGACTGGGATGAGTCAGTCCGGATAGAATTCTTGGTCGGTATCGACGCGCAGATTATGATGACCTTCCTGGTGCAGAGTTTCTCCTCTCACAGGCAACCCGATCGCTACTTTCTCTGAGAGCAACGTCAAAACACAGTTATAATTATTCACTTTTTTATGTTTATGTTATTGTGGTAGAGTTTTCACTGTTGGTGAGACTTATTCGTATTGGCATCGCTCAAAGGCCTTCTTCAATTTGGGGACCACTGCGCAAATCTACTTTCACACCGACTAGATGAACACATGGCTAAACAATCCACCATCCACGAAGTCATTGCATAATGTGACGCTGTAGGGACCTGTGTCGTATAGCGTGTATCCACACGACGGACATATCCGCGCAAATCCCTCCCGCGGACGTTCGTTCCGCCGCCCGTCCGGCTGCGAAGCACATTCAGACGACGGACGAAGCGAGCAGACGGACGCGCTGGAGAAAAAAAACATGGCGGCACTGTCTGAAGCGAGAGCTGCCCGCTTCAAATCTTTAAGCTCTTCGTAGCGCATCGCGTGGGCTGTTATTCCCAAACTGATGGTTGTGTAGGCTTTAGGTCTGTGTCCTCGAGCTTCGACGGCAACGTATACATGACTATTTGGTACTGTTTCCGAGCGCCGTACTCGTTTTCTGAAAAGTGTAGGCTTAGCGACCACCGCTATTGCCAATACATGAGCTCGGTGATCTGCGGTAGCGCTGGGGCTACCATATCTCGGAGCTCATGATAATGTGCGAATGTTTGCTTATTCTTCTTTTCTATAGATGGCGCGACCAGTCTGAAAGTAGAAAACCCATTCATCGCTAGCCATTCGAGGTTTAGGTTTCCGTCTATGACGCTGAGTTTGAAGTTGAAGTGAATATGGAGGTCGAAAGAAAGCAACGAATAGCTGCAATGGCTGTTGTATTAGCAGAATTAGACGATGAAGCGCTGTTCTTCCCTGTAAAACGATCTTGTTGGCAAAAGGACTACATCGCTAACAAGCATCTGGGTATGCAATATCAACTCTATCGTGAACTTTTGCTTAGCGACAGCCAAGAATACAGGAGGCTTCTGCGAGTGTCGAGAGAGCAGTTTGTCCAGTTGCTGTCGCTCGTAGGACCTCGCATACAACGACAGGACACCGTAATGCGGCGAGCCATATCAGCTGAAACAAGGCTGCAGGTCACGCTACGATACCTTGCTTCAGGCAAGTGTTGCACGTCTGTGCATTTCTACTCGAAACATTGCTCCTATTGTTGCATCCGAGACTGTTCAGACTTGGAGAGCCTCGCTTTTAGAGGTGGCATTACGTTGTGTGTTGTAAAACGCCAGCAAGGTCTTGAATAGGCACATATGTGACACTAATAAAACAAATCTTGCGAAGGCTACGAAAGCCCTCTTACACAGCCTCGCTGTCGTTGATGTACAGTTTGGCACTCTTGGCATACATCTGCGAATTAGTGACGGTATTTTTTTCCCTTTGTGCAGGAGAGAGCCACCACTCCTTGAGTCGCCAATTTCGTCTGGGCCACTCGACTGTAAATGATATCATCCATGAAACATGTAATGTAATTTATGAAGAGCTGAAGAATGAATTTCTCAAAACTCCAAGCACCGAGGATGAGTGGAGAGACGTCGTTGCTGGTTTCAGTAGAAACTGGAACTTTCCAAACTGCGTTGGAGCGATGGATGGAAAGCATGTGATAATTACTAAGCCAGCAAACACGGGAACAGTTTACAGAAACTACAAGAAGAGCTTTAGCATTATACTGTTTGCCGTGGTCGATGCGAACTACAAATTTTTGTACACGGATGTTGGTGCGCCAGGGTCACAGGGAGATGCGGGCGTCTGGCAAACTACGCCTCTGCAAGCACACTTGTCAAACATGTCGGCTGGTCTTCCGGAACTGGTCAAGGTGGGAAGCTTGCCTGATCTGTACTTGCCACCAGTTTTCGTCGGTGATGACGCGTTTCCTCTTGGAAGAAACTTGATGAAACCGTTTGGGGAACGTTCGTTATCAGAAGAGAAGAGAATATTTAATTACAGGTAATTTATGTCACTACTGAAACAGCACTATGTGATATTTAACCGTTTAATCGAAGGTGCGCTAACCCAGATTTGCAGCACACATTAGCATGCTACTATCTTCTCAGTGGTGTAAAGTGTATAAAATTATATCTTACTTTTTTTAATGCTTTACAGGTTATCCAGGGCTCGGCGTGTAGTTGAGAGCACCTTTGGAATACTTGCGAATAGGTTTAGATTTCTGCACACCGTGATTGACGCTGAGCCAAAACGGGTGACATCAATGGTGAATGCAGCATGCGTATTGCACAACTTCCTCGCCAATGAATTGAACGCAGCTGACTCGTGTGCCGACACAACGCCTACTGCAACTCTGTTCTCTACACAGCCTTATTCTCGCGGACGAGTAAGTGCTGTTGGCTCCGCCGTACGTGACAGCCTATGCGAATTTTTGAATGGCAGGGGTGCTGTGTCATGGCAGCGTACGTCAGCCCACTTGGAGGCCGATGTATACAGAAGGCCATAAGATTACGCAAAGATAGTGCAAGATGCACATGCGTTGTCATAAAATAAAGTTGTTGAAAAATAAAATGCGGTTTGTTTAGTTGAAGGGCGAGATCTTGTATACGCTGTCATATGAATGGCATTTCAAATTACGGATATTTACTTAAAACTGAGTTTCATTCACACTGACAACAATGCTGGAGGTAAGCAACGATTTATTAACTGGCAATATTAAATGAGATCTGTTGAGCTTTCTTACTCGCTTTTGTTGATGTAGATTTCAAGTGCGCTTAAGATAGCCTTCTGGCATGGGATCAGCTTATCCTTCGGAACCTCGCGCATGTGTGCAGCAACAACTTTACCAAAATAGTCGATATCATCTTCCTGCTGTGTGGTACTCGCTGGTTGGCCTACGCTTGCAGCTATTTTTTCCAACACAGTTTGCCGTTGGGCCAATATTTCATCTAAACGATGGGGAGATCGGCGCCTTTTCTTCTGTGTTCCTTGGCGGGACATTGCAGAGAGTGCCTTGCCCGCAATTGGGTCGTCCACGGTAATGTTTTGGTCGTCAGTCGCTGCAGCTGCATCGTCTGAGGTTTGTGAAGGATCATCAATGTCTGGTCGTACCTGCAAGACACAAAATGGCGCACAAAGTCTCTCGCAATTCCAAAATGTAATGCTTTGCAGACACACATCTGCGTATCTATTCCGATTACAATCTGTATTACAACCACGTAAAAGCAATGGTACATTATTCGTGATTTGGCGTAATTAGAGCGCAAGATTCAAACTTCAGTGTCAACAATTTTTGGTCATATCTAATTTAAATATAGAAACGACGTTTGAATAATTCAGCACACCAAGCAACTAATCTTAATGTAGAATTATTTTGGTGTGTGTTCAAGCATTGAAAAGGTTGTAAGGCTGTATAAGAAAGTGCTAAGTAATAAAAAATACATATTGTAAAAATTTACGCGGCACAAGAAGGCTTCATCACAAATACGAAAAACAAGGGCAGTTTACCTTCATGGTCTCCGCCGCAGCTTGGCATGCATCAGTGCTCACAGAACGCCAACAGGTCACTTTTGAAGCATCCAAAAACCTGAGTGAATTATAAAAGCGCCAGCGACCTTTATAAACGTCCGAGCTTGGCATTCCACTCTTTGTGGATTCTACTTTCTTCTTCTCCAACCGGTATGTGCGTCTCTTATTGTCAAAGAAGCGCCGAAGGGCTTCTGTAAAAAAAAAAGAACAAAACAGAGGGGGGGGGGTGATTATAAGTACGATTTACACCATGCAGTTTCGGTCAATCACCATCACAACACATTATGCTGAAAAAACGTGGCTGGTGCTCTAACGAATACTGCAGTGAATGTTTTCAGTTTTACCGCAAGCTTACGCATCACAAGCAACGTTTGGCGGACTCGTCGCCATTAACACTGTTCTTGAATTTCGCGCCGATTCCTTGATTAAAATGCATTTTTATTGAGCAGCCCTGCCTCCGGCACGGTAGCATGCTTGGGAATGCGCTGACCACGGCCGTCACTTGTAGACACCAATGTGCCCCACGTCATGCATAACAGGTACATTCCAGAAGGTTATTATCACGAAACCCACCCATATAATAACGCAAAACATAGAGAGTAAATATAAATGGTACTTACTGGCATCGTACGGCCCGTACGCAGGCCACTCCTCGTTCATTTCCTTCGCTATGCGTTCCCATATACTCTCCTTCACTGTTGTGTCCGCGTACTCGGCGAGTGTCATATCCCACAATGCGGGGAACTGCTCAACAAGGCGCAGCAGAAAAAAAGTTGCGTCGTCGCTCAAGTTCATAGTTGGAGTTGTTTGCGGTAGTGTGCGTCGAACGTACTTCCCACGCAAAAACCCAAACAAAACGAGCAGAAAAAAAAAACGTGCCTGTTGCCAGACCCTTATAACTTCGTCGGCTAAATTTACGAAACCACACGAGAAACAGAAAAATAAGCGCTTGTTGCCACACTAGTATTGGCGTCCTCCGCTAAATTTGTCGTGTTTTTCCGCGGGAATCCGTTTGCGAAAAAGAGCGTGGCATTTTCCGTCCGCGACGTCCGCGGACGCGGCACGGATGGCGGAAATCCGTGACGTGGGGTCACGTGACGCGCCGTCCGCCGCGGAAAAGACGGATTTGGTCCGTCGTGTGGATACACGCATACTGAAGAAGAAGCACGAAACAAAATCCAAACAAAGACGGATATGCCACAAGCGGAACTACATCAGATGTAAGCACACGGCATGTGGCAGAAAATTATCAGAATCGTAGAACTCTGAATAAAAACTTTCATTTAATTAGTATGCCCCACTTATACGACCTTTAAAAGAAGATAATCTTTTATTAAACAATTCTCTCAGTGTTCTTAGTTTTATTATCACTTTTTATAAAAAACTTCATCACTAGTGTGGCGCGCAAAATGCCGCAAATAACCCGCCGCCATTGAATTCTGCGGTGCGCCCGCTGGAGTGTCGGCAAAAAATGGTGCCACGCGTATGGTAAGCAGGCGAAGAGAATCAAAGAGGAAGCGCGCGTGGAAGGGATTGTCATCAGTTTTCCAAGATCAAAGGGTTTTAGCTGATACGACACGGTATTGGCGCCTACCCGTCGCTTTGCGTTCTACGCCTTATCGCCTCCGAGACGAGGGCGTACGCCACGCGCTTGCTATATCAGAGGCAATCCTTCCGTTTTCCAAGATAAATGTCTGATAGCGCTTATGTCTCACGTGCCACAATGTGCTTGTTCGCCTCTGCTGCACGCATCGCGGCATTCTAACGCAGCACCTCCAGAATATCATTCACCAATTTTCTCACGCAGGGCATCAAATAAACGTTTTGTTCACTTTCTCCAAACACACGTCTATCGTCTTTCGACGATATTTGCAGTGAAACATGTGGATACGGGGTCAATATTTTTATTTACGCAATACTAACAGCGCCATTGAAGGCATTGCAGTGAGTGGGTAAACACAATATAAACAGACTTATGCATCACATATAACCAGCAAGAACAAAAAAAGTTGGCATAAAAATGAGTAAACTACATATAAACAAAGTATGCAAAGAAAGGCATTAAAAAGCCAAGTCAACAAGGCGTCAAACGTATCACTAGATGCTTCATTAACAATGGCAGCAGGTAACTCATTTCAATCCCATATTGTTCTAGGAAACGATGACATTCTAAAGGATTCCGCACCGGAGAACATTTTCACACACTTTATGTGAATCATCGATTCGTGTTGACAATTAATGAGGCTCAAGAAGATACTGTTGCCAATCAATACCAATTTGTGAGTGAAGAATATTATGAAAGCGTTATGGCGAAATTTTTTCCTGTGATTTTCTAGTGTATTCCATGTCAAATCTGCCTTTGCTTCACTAGCACTAAGAGTAAGCGTGTAATTTTGAGTCACAAACATTGCAGCTAAATTCTGTACTTTTTCTATGCGTTCCTTATCACCCGCCATCAGCGAATTCCACACTCCGCATGCATATTCTAAAATAGATCTAAGAAAGGTCTTGTTAAGTACTTGTTTAGTAGTCATACTCAAACATTCTGCATTGCGCTTCAGAACCCTCACGGGTTTGCTGCACTTGCGACTACATCATGAACATGACGATGCCATTTTAGGTAATGTGTTAAATATACAACAATACAGTTATATTTATACACTCAAGACTATGGAACATTTTCTAAAATATACTCTAAGGAATGTACAGTACATTCTTGTTCTTTGTAAATGGCATGAAAATGGTCTTATCTATATTCAAAGTCATTCTACTTGCGACACCAATGACTGACGAGTTTCATATAACTTTGCGAAACGCGACGATCATTTGCTTGTTTGTTTGTTGCCTGTATGAACTGGCACATGCCCACTCTGGGGGACTGGCCTTGAAATGTAGTAGTAGCCTTTATGTGACACAATTATTGAAAGCCTACTGTTAAAAGAAAAAAAACAATGAAACAAAAAATAATATTAAAATGAAGAATAATAATAAACTGAAGATAAATTGATGATGAATCAATAAGAAAAAAGGTGGGCTAATACTATATTAGAAGACTCAACTTTTGAGTAGACATGACCGTTGAGTTTATCTCATCCGGACAAAATTGAATGAATGTGCGACTTTCATTCATATTCTTACGAATACGACACGACGCCGTATCGACGAGGCTGTGAAAGAGATTTACTTAAAACCAGCAGTATTGGCCTGACCGGTTCACCAGAGAACGAGTGGAGAGCACCTTTCTTCCTCTTCGTCAGGCACACACGCGCATCGTCCCACAAAATATCAACATGCATGTAGCATAACTCCCGGTGGCAAAAGCGCCATCTCGGCGCATCTAGATGTCAACGTCAGCGGGAGAGTGGTAAGGCTTCAAGCGTAACACATGTACGATATCGGTGGTCTTTGAGGCAGTTGAAGGCGATGGGGTAGCATGGGCAATTTCGTATGTCACAGGAGTAATTTCACGAAGGACTCGATATGGACCCGTGTAGCGAGAAAAAAGTTTTTTTTTGACAAGCCGACTTGACGGGTCGTGGACCACAGCAGCACCAATGAACCGGGTAACAAGTGCACGTCGCGGTGCTGTTGATCGTACAAACGCCGCTGGTTCTCTTGAGAGGCCAGGAAGCGAGTTCGGGCGATTTCGCGTGCGTTGGCAGCCCGAGTGATAGCGTCAAGGGCATAATCGCTGGTCGGTATTGCGGTAGACGGAATGACTTTATCTAGGGGTAATGTAGAGTCTCGGCCGAATAACAAAAAATGGGGAGTAGGCAGCAGTGTCATGGCGAGAAAATTGTAGGCAAATGTGACGTACGGCAACGTGAAATCCAAGTCGGTATGGTTCGTAGAAACATACTTAGCGAGCATGTCTGTGGGAGTTCGATTTAGACGCTCCGTGAGTCCATTGGTTTGCGGGTGGTATGACGTAGTCAGCTGTGTCTCGTTTTACAGGACTGCAAGATGCCGGCTATGACTTTCGACAAAAAGGCGCGGCCACGGTCTGTAAGCAGCTGCCGTGGGGCTCCGTGTTGCAAAATCACGCCCTTAAGGAGGAAGTCGGCGACATCTGTGGCGCAGCTTGTTGGAAATGTGATGGCATAACGCGTGGCGTAGTCGGTGGCCACGGCTATCCTTTTGTTACTCAAAGAAGACAAGGGGAAAGGGCCAAGTAGGTCCAAGCCAACGATGAAGAACGGTTCTGACGGAATCTCAAGTGGTTGAAGGCATCCGGCGGGAAGCGTCGATGGTGTTTTGCGGCGCTGGCATTTCTCACAAGCCGCAACGTATCTTTTGACTGAGCGTGCAAGACCTGGCTAAAAGAAGCGTCGGCGTATTCGGTCGTAAGTGCGTGACACACCAAGGTGACCAGCGGTCGGAAGGTCATGAAGTTCATGTAGAACTTCCGAGCGAAGGTGCTTCGGAATGACAAGCAGCCGGGCCGGTCCATCCGGTTCAAAACTTTGGCAGTATAATACACCATCGTAGAGCACGAATGAACGATAGGACTGATCGGACGATCGTGATTCGAGGCGCTCAATGATAGCACGAAAGGACGCATCATGGCGCTGTTCGTCACCGATGCATGTAATTTGCGAAAGGAAAAAGACGCAAGGCTCGGTGTCGGTGTCAGGCATAGTGCTCGACTCAGCAACCGGGTTGCGGGACAGGCAGTCTGCGTCCTGATGTAGGCGTCCGGACTTGTACGTTACCGTGTAGGTATACTCTTGCAGTCGCAGAGCCCAGCGCCCGAGCCGGCCAGTGGGATCCTTCAGTGACGAAAGCGAACATAGCGCGTGGTGGTCCGTTATTACAGAGAAGCTCGTGCCATATAAATATGGGCGGAACAATACATACAAATATAGGCGGAATATGGGCGGAAGCAAATGGTCGAGCACCATTTTTCAATAAGTAGGTTGTCAGACCATCACGACATCCACCTTTACCAACAATTATTATTAAGAGCAACAGTTATACGCCACTTGTACTGATAATGACGCCTGTGTTACCCATTCGGGTTATCTGATATTGTGGAATACTCTGTTTTTTTTATGGTTATTGGTGTCACGGTAGAAAAGACAGAAGAAAAATACTGATTGAAACAAGCCGCGTTGTCTTTCTCTTCGAAAATGACGCTATTTATTGATATGATTGACGGAATAGCTGTTGCCTCTTTACCATTCTTCTTCACGTGTTTCCGAAATTGCTTGGGGTCACCCTTAATTCTCAATTGAGTGATTTCACTGAAAGCATTCTTGGCAGCGCAAGTTTCTCTCTTTCAAAGGTGACCTCTTTCATTTTCTTGGAGTTACTATTTGATGGTACACATGAAAAGTTCTGCTAAAGTGTTAGCCATTTCCGCGTTAGGCTCCCTATTGCTTTGGAAAACCAAGCCTTACATCTAATTTGTCTTTTTTTAGTATTCTTCATTGTATAAAATGTTGACGAAGGTCTAGCAGCTTGGTTTTAAAGTAATCCTATAGTTCAAATATGTTTCTTTAATTCCACTTTCATTGCAAAAACATCATTGTACATGGTTACTTCTTGTTTGTCTTTCAATTAGTAATCTTCATGGTATAAAATATTGATGAAGGTCTAGCACCTTGGTTTTAAAGTAATCCCATAGTTCAAGTATGTTTCTTCAATTCCACTTTTGTTGCAAAAACCTCACTGTACATGCTATTTATTTATTCAATACCCACAGCACCCATACAGGCATTATAGTGGTGAGGAGGGGGGGGGGGGGTACAGGAAAAGAACACGAAAATTGCAGGTTCACATCAGTTTGTGTAAAAAAGAATAAAAAAAACTAGAATCGCAAGTTACAAAACCT